ATGTATTGAAGTTTTATTTAGCTGTAACCATGGTGTTATGTATTGAAGTTTTATTTAGCTGTAACCATGGTGTTATGTATTGAAGTTTTATTTAGCTGTAACCATGGTGTTATGTATTGAAGTTTTATTTAGCTGTAACCATGGTGTTATGTATTGAAGTTTTAAGAGAATTAACAAAAAAAAGTAAACAATTGAAATACTTTCTTTATAGAAACAAAATTTGAGTGTTTTCTTGCATAGTTTTTATATGAGTGTGATTTGTATTTTCTGGTTCCAGGGTATTAAAAGTGGGTGTACAGCAGTATGTTGCATTATAAGAGAAAAGACACTTTATCTTACCTGGCTTGGAGACTCCCAGGCTATGGTTGTTCGTCAGGGTGTACCCTTAGGTGTTATGTCACCACACAAGCCGGACCGAGAGGTGAATGATTTTTGATGGCTATATATATAAATTAAGAACGTATCTTGCACGGCTGTATAGATAAATTAAGAACGTATCTTGCACGGCTGTACAGATAAATTAAGAACGTATCTTGTACGGCTGTACGGATAAATTAAGAATGTATCTTGCACGGCTGTACGGATAAATTAAGAAAGTATCTTGCACGGCTGTACGGATAAATTAAGAAAGTATCTTGCACGGCTGTACGGATAAATTAAGAATGTATCTTGCACGGCTGTACGGATAAATTAAGAATGTATCTTGCACGGCTGTATGGATAAATTAAGAATGTATCTTGCACGGCTGTATGGATAAATTAAGAATGTATCTTGCACGGCTGTACGGATAAATTAAGAACGTATCTTGCACGGCTGTACGGATAAATTAAGAACGTATCTTGCATAGAAAGTGAGCAATTTAACCCAAGTTTTTGGTCATATCTTTACACATGAGTGTTGTAACAGACAAAAACATAAAATTATTGAATATCATGCAATATGTAGAGTCCACTAACAGTTAATAAAAACAAGTGTAGTTGGTAATTTGAGAGTAAAAATTTCCATACCAGATATATATAACTCTGAATTGTCCATTTACCTCTACAGTCACTTGTTTCTTGTCGAGAAGTAAGTGTTTGAAAGACAAATGTATCTTCTAATGCTAACAGTTTCTCTGTACTTTATTATTCCAATGTACGACTTTGCAAGTAGATTGATATATTAGAGACTATACAGCAACTTCTCGGTAAATTATACTGTCACGTTTATTTTTCACAGATCGTTTTTAAATGAGTGAGGCTACCCATGTCATTGACTTGAAATACTTTTATTATCATAACTTCTTGTCTTCTTACTGCAAGCCTGATGGAATTATGAAAGCTATTTATGTATTTTGAAGTCGAACACAAAATGTTAAATTCTTTCAGTTATTTTCGTGCTGATTTGAATAAATTGAAGACAGTTATTCGTATCATTTATTAATATCTCCAAGAAATTATTAAGTAAGAAGTTGATTAGGATTGTAGATCGTATATGTACCCCATTTGAATTAAGTCTTGTACTTATTTTTCAGCCTCACTTACAACTTAAACCTTTAGTTAGTGTGAAGGATAAACTTTCTCCGTTTAAATGTTTCAAGGTTGTTTTATTAATACTCTTTTACCTGGTATGCCTGTGCATACGCAATAGAGGTTGTTGAACACCTTTATTGTGGTTTTAAAGTTTTTAACAGTCAGTAGAGTTTATTACACCAGTACAGGCCAGTTATATATGATCAATGATAATTTGGTTAAAACAAGTGTTGTTACACATTATAAATATTGCTAATTAAACATTTGAAACCAGCTTTATTTTTCCTTTCTTTATAAGGTATAAATTTTTGTTTTTTGAGGGAATAAATACTTGAAATAATAACAAGCATTAATATGAATTTAGTATTAAAATCATATTAATATTTGATTAAAAACACTGAACTCTGAAAGTTTTTCAATTAAAATGTGGCATAAGTTCCAGCACTTGTGTGATAATTTGCAGGTATTTATTTTTTTTTGTCTTAGAACTAAAATTCCCCAAAAAACCGCTTCCTCTGTTGAAATGACTAGTTTTTTATCTATTAAAAATAAAAAGTAAATCGGGGGTTTTGATACTTAATTCCGAAGTAGTTTATGGGAAGAAACATAATAAGTTTGCAAGCTCTTTTGTTGGAATTTAATGATTTAAATACTAAAACCATATAGATTTTCTAAAAATGCCATGTCATTCACTAAAAATAAGTCTTTTTCTATGTTTTTCAGGATGAAAGACGAAGGATAGAGAATGCGGGAGGATGTGTACTGTTCATAGGTACTTGGAGAGTAAACGGAACCTTGGCTGTATCTAGAGCGCTAGGTATTTCTGTTGTATTTAATATTCATGTTGATACAGTAACATTATAAGCAGTAATTAATTAACTGATAAGGGAAACAAATACACACACATTACATAACCGTTCATGCTCATTGTCTTGTAAGCTTCGTAGCCAGTGTGTCATCTGCTTTCTTGCAAGATTTAAAACCTATTGTTAGAATTTTAAGACTACATATTTTTATTATTTTAAAAACATCTCTTCATTATTGCTTAAAAAATTGAATGTCAAGTGTCATAATTTGACAAACATTTTTTTATTATTAACTATTTATCTTGTATATAATGAAATGCCTGTACTTGAGTTAATTTTTTTTTCCAGTGAAGTTGGACCATGCAAGCACACAAACATATGTATAATAATAATAACCTACAGTACTTGAAAAAAAAAAATTATGAAGAATGCTAAAAAACGTTTCATGCAGACTTTTGTCATTCAGCATAACAAATTAATACTTGACAAATACTGAAAGTTCTAGCTTTTAAAATGATAGTTTTAAAATCTTAGTGCAGTTGAAAAAATATCTTGAAATGTGAACTAAATGGAATTAATCTCCTAATAGGCACAAGGAGAACTATACTATTTGTAAATAACAAATATAGTTTAAGTTTATGACCTACTCTTAGCCTATTATATTCAGTGTTTTTTTTTTTTTTTTTTGTTACTAAGAAATTGTGTGAAATTAAAATCTTAACAATGAATTGAATGTATTATTTTTAGAGGTTTTCAAATTGAGATTTACTTTCTAAAATATAAAGTACTTTTTTTTTTCTCTATATAACTTTGTTCAAAATAACACAAGAAATGCTATTGTCTTGCAAAGAGGTACAGTTTGCTTAACTCTTAAGGTGCACCTGTTGCCATATAGTGACCAGATAACGTGGTTTGAATTTCCCGCTAGAAATGCAAGCCAAGCACGCAAAATCAATAGACAAAGCTTAATCTGCACAGATGACAGTGTTGGTCACCCATTAGTATTCAACATGGCATATGTTACTATTCAAAACATCGGTGTCATTTGCAGTTTAAAATTGTTTAATTTTTATGAAAAACGTATACAAAATGGTATCGGATTGCTCCAGTGTTTTCACACTTCAATCGAACTTGCGCAAGCTGATGATTTTTGCTCTCATCCTGAATTATCTGTCATTGATATTAAGTGTGATATGATTGAAAAAATTAAATATTTAAAGGATTAAAGTTAATAGGAAGTAAGAAGTCCAGTTTTGAGTAACGATTTGATTTGAATGGTCAGAATCAGATAAATTCATTCAAAGTCAAAGTATTCTTTAAATTGATGTTTTAATTCGAAGCGTTTTTACTGTATAGTATCCTTCTGTTTTATGTCTTTAAAAGTGTATAAAATTTATAAATATTGCATTCAATGTCAGGAATCTGAATTTAACTTTGCTTAACACCCCCCCCCCCCCAAAGTGGCACAGCTGTATGTCTGCAGACTTACAACACTAGAATCTGTGTTTCATACCCGTGGTGGGCAGAGCACCAAGAGTATATCTTTGTGCTTAATTACAAACAAACTTTGCTTAAGGAATTTAATCTTTTTTTTTTT